CCGTGGCTGTCGCTACGGATTATGATAATGCTCGTTCTCTCTCCTCTCCGCCGGGCGCTCTCTGTGGCGGGCGAGGGTCGGCCGACAGATTCGACGACGAGGGTAGTAGTCACGACGCGGTGGGGAGCGAGTGGCGGATTTCCCCGGCACGAGACGGCCGAAAAACAAGGGTGGTGGCACCACCGGTGAGTCATACTTCATCCCCGACGTGGCCGCTGGGGTGGAATGGTGACTGGTCGCCTATCACTCCCCATTTTCTGCCTGCGGACGAGCTTCCAGCGAACGCAGACACCCTCACTCTCTCTCTATATATTCCGCTTCTCTTCTCTTCACTTTATTTTGTTGCCTTTCTCTCTCTCTCTCTCTCTTTATATATTTCCCTCATTCCCTTTCCGGCTCCCTGTAGGTCCCTCTATAAACCGCTATCGTTACTGTCTCTCGCTCCGTCTCTCTCTCTCTCTTTCTCTCTCTATCTCGCGGTCTGATTGAAATTATATTTCAATCTCCGGGCAACCCCCGTTGTTTCGGCACGCACTGCGGGCTATTTGAAGGAGACCGAGGGAACGCGTCGATTCGTACGGCGGAATACATAAACTTTCGTTGCCGTTAATGCGAACTTTCGGCGTCGTTGAAAAGCAAATTTCGCGAATTCTGTTGAACTTGTTTTAACGGAAACCGATGGCTGAAGAGAACTCGGATGAATGCACGAGGAAACTGAAGTACGAATCCGATATCTCGTGCTCGGGGGAAACTTCATGATCGAGTAGTATAACTTGCCTTTTGTGGCGAAAGGTCGCTGGAAATTCATTATGGATCCCTTTTCCAAGAGTGAAAAAATATAAGTACGGAACGGTTCCAGGTGTTAAAGGAAAATTGTAGTTTAAAATATAAATATTGAATGAATAATCGTTAACAATGTTAGCACGTACATCTGGGAACGCGTAGTTATTAAGACCAAAACGTAGAACTGTCGGAAAGACACACATATTTTTTGTCAACGCGTATCAAATCGAGGATCCGAGTAAATGGAAGTGTGATATTAATATGCAAGATAAAATAATCGTTTAAAAAATGAAAGCAAAATTGCCCTCGGCATTGGCAGTAACTTGACATCCAACCTCCTCTTTCCCGCCAGGACTGCCACACTGACTGCAATACGAGACGTTCCATATTGCGACCAGCAGCCATTTCCTACAAAATCTAATGGATATATACTTTTTTTTTTCTTCATTTCCCGGCGGAAATCAGTCGCGGGAGACGCGATCGTTCCAAGTGGTTCGTGAATACTGATGAGTCATTCCGATGTGTCTCCTAATTTAAGAAATAATCACGTTAACATTATTCTACGCGCTCCCTTAAAGCGCTTATGGAGATGTGAACGGTCGATAAAACCAGCCGGTGATGAATGAACTTTTTTTCCGAGAAAGTAATTTACGACGAAGGTCGCACGCTAAACGTCAAGGTATTAAAACGGCCATATCAGATGTCGCACTTCAGAACCGATCTCATTATTTCCGGTCTTTCCAGTACGTTGTCGTGACTATTCGTACCGAGCAGTGGCAGAGTAGACACCGTCGTCTACGTTAGGTCGGGCTACCTTCTGTTCTTGATTGCGAGTCATCGCGACTCACTTCCGGCCGATGCGATCGTCCGGGAGATAGCAGGAAGCGGATTAACAAGATATACCGACGTACGCCGCGCGTAGAGACGACGAAGGCGGCGGACCTCGTCGAATATTCCGCTCAGGCGTGTACTTTAATCCCACCGAGAGACCCGGGGATCGATGTTTCGGTTTTGACTAACAAATTTCGAAGCGTTTTACCTACTACAGCCGACCCTCCTCCTACGAGGACGCAGCTGGTGCTGAATCATCGCGACTCTTCGCGAGCACCTTCGCCGTTGCCAGAGTTTCCGCAGGCGAAGTAGTTCCGAGTAACTTATCGTTCGCTCTCTTATCGGGATACCGCCACAAAGCGACAGAAAGAAAGAGAGAGAGAGAGAGAGGGAAAGGACCGTCGACGGAAAACGCGGAGTTCGCGTGACTTCCGTGAACTCCGCGCGATCTCGATAATCGCTGATGTATCGACCTTGTACCTTTCTTCCTTTTTCTTAATTTCCGCTTGAGCCGGCTTGCGGCCAACGCTCGATGGAGTAGCCTAGATCAAGCGCCGCGGAACTATCGCATTTCCTTTCGATTGCAGGCTCTTTGAGGCCGTCCAGCTTGATTTCGCCTCGGCGATAGTTTAAGGGGCAAACGATTGTCGTGACGCGCGTGACTTTCGATTTTTCACCGGCCGAACGCTCATATCCACGGTGTAGAAACGAGAAATCTCGCTGAGATCCATCGGAATACAGTAATGTTCCATTGGCTGTTCTCATCCGCATAAATCACGAATACAAATCCGATCACCGTCCGGGGGAAATTCTTGTCGGAGAAACGCCGACGTCGCGAACTACCCGTTCAATAGGTGTGTATTTTTAATTACGGCTTTTCAGGCCACAGAAAATGGTTTTATCGAGTTTAAGATATCGCTGGACGGTCCCAGATGTCATTAAGGAAATATATTCTATTCATTCCCATTAAAAATCTATTGTCATCCAATTTTGATGAATCGAGAGTAAAAATATTTTTTTAGAAAGAAAAAAACGATATCCTCAAACTGATAAAATTCTTCAGTTCGAAGATATCGTTCTCTCTATCGAATATATTTTCTTCTCAATGAAAATGATTATTTATTATTCTTGAACGATTCGAATATGATATTCTTAGTGGTTACTCCGTAAAATTTCCTCATGCAGGAACAATTTTTATCTTCGTATAAGATTATATATTCTTACTTATTTACACGAGAATATAAGCCTTGAATTGATACTAATATCGATACTAATCTTTTCTCCGTGTAAGCGCGAGTATTACACATCGTAATGGTTAATTCGCTATCGGAATATCATTTTCCGGACACTCCCGTGGAAAATTCTTTCCAGCTTCGTTAACCCACGTGCCAGTTTCGTGCCTTTACGCTGCACTCCGTTCCCTGTATATGGATCGGTGGCACCGTTTCCAAGCGGTTAGATGTCACGACATTAATACGAAGAAAGGACGATACCCGAGCGACGTTCGATACGTGCCCCGGCGCGACCCCTCACGTCTCGATTTTCTCGCATAATTCCCCGATTTATCGCCGCGAGCGGCTCTTTGTCCCCGTTAAATGTTTGCGCGCGGCGTCTGCTCGCACGCACGCACGCGCGCTCGCTCGCGTGCAATTTCGCCCCGGGAAGTGACTCCGCCGCCGGTTAGTAATTCAAGCGGCCACTTCAGGAGGCAACAATGGACGTAACAGTAGATTCGTCCGTAATTTTACACTCGAGCCCATTTTCTCGCCGTGCCCGGCTTTAAGGCCGATCCACGCGACGCCGTTTTCTCGCTCACGACCAAGCGGAGGGCGAGAGTGGCCCTACACCTTCGGCACACACGGAAAGGGAGGAACGTACACGGCTCACCTGGGTGTACTTTCGAGCGTAATTGCTCGCTAACTAAAAGCGCCGGGTTCTAACTGAAAGTACTTTCGTCCGAATAAATTGTAATTTTTCCCGTTTCCGGAGGGAGCGATTTATTCCTTTTATCACCCACCCTCGCCCCTTTTATAACTCGCGATCGACAAAGCGAGTCGACGGCTAACAACGACATTAATAATAAATGCATATAATAATACAACGTATGAATATTAATATTACGCTGCATTTATACGAGATCAATGTGAAATTATCGCGTGTTTGTGCTAATGGTGATAATGTCAAGTAGTCGCTGCCAAAGAGCGGTCACGTAACAGGAGCTGCACGCTCGGCACCATTCGAAACACGGCGGGGGGGGGGGGGGGGGGG